CCCTGCCCTCGGCTGGCGTTTACCCCGCAGATGTGTCCTGGAGAACACGGGGCCCGCCCCTCCCAGGGGTTCACCGCCCGCCTGCTTAGCGAGGGGATGGAGGGGTGACTCCGGATCACCGGTTCAAGGCCATCCCCCCCCCAACCACGCAGACGAGTAACGCCAAGTCCACTCCCGTGTCACGACGTTAAATGAGATGAGAACAATGCCTGACACTGAGTGGGCACTGAGTCCGTGTAATGACCCGAACACAGCGAACGCGGTGTCTAACTTCCTGTGTGCCTGCGCGAGTGTGCGTGTGCGCGCGAGTGTGCATGTGTATGTGCTTGAACTCAGGGCCTGGGCGCTGTCCCGTTGCTTTTCCACTCAGGCTGGTGCTTTACCACTTGAGTCACAGCTGCACGTCTAGCTTTTTGGTGGTCGACTGGAGAGGAGAATCTCACAAGACTTTCCTGCTGGTCTCAGCCTCCTAAGAAGCTGGGACCAAGGCTGCAGCCAATGACCAGGCTTTCTTCAGCTCTAGCGACTCCGTTTAGTCACAGTAAAGAGGTAAGTGCTACTAGACAGTTCTAACAGGCACCTGAGACCTAGAAACCTTTTGAGCGAAGGCGGTAATCACAGGATGGTCTCTGTAGCTACTCGATGGTCAATCCAACTTTTAAGTGCAGTCTAGTGTTCATGACAAAACATAGTGTTTTTGGACAATGCAAAAACGAGCAGTTTTAAAACCATATTAAAGTGATTGTTAAAATTCAGGTTGGCGATGGAATCACCAGTCTCCTTTTGTTCTTCAACAAACTGTTCTTAGACGGTGCCCGTGAAGATGGCCTCCAACATGAGCACAGACCATCATTCTCATCTGTGCTGGTCCAGGCCTGCCAACATCTTGGTTTCAATAATATAAATAGGACAGTTTCATTATTTTTTGTTCATTTTTATCCTGTTTACTTACTGAATTGATACTTGAACTTAAAAAAAAATTATAAACCCAGGGCTGGGAAGGTGGCACAGTGGTAGAGTGCTTGCCTTGCACGCATGAGGCCCTGGGTTCCATTACTTAGCACCACATAAGCAGAAAAAGCCGCAAGTGGTGCTGTGGCTAGAGCACTAACCTTGAGCTGAAAAGCTGAGGGACAGTACACAGGCCCAGAGTTCAAGCCCCATGACCAACCAAAAATAAATAAAAATTATAAACTCAAGACCAAAAATCGATATTGTCAAACATCCTTAATTTTGAACTCTGCATGTTTAATCCAGTCTCTCTAGTAACATGCTTGCCATTTTTCCAATTTTTTTCAAAGAACACAAAATGTTTTTTTTGTTGTTGTTTTTTCTGGTATAAAGGTTTGAATTCAGGGTTTCTTTTTTTTTGGGGGGGGGTCCGGTTGTGGGGCCTGAACTCTGGGCCTGGGCGCTGTCCCTCAGCTCTTCAGCTCAAAGGTAGTGCTCTACCACTTGAGCCTCAGCACCACTTCTGGCTTTTTTCTTTTTGCTTATGTGGTGCTGAGGAATCGAACCCAGGGCCTCAGGCATGCAAGGCAAGCGCTCTACCACTGAGCCACCTTCCCAGCCCAAATGAATTCAGGGTTTCATATGTGCTATACCACTTGAGCCAGGCCTCTAGCCTGGGTTTTTGCTGTTTTAGAAATGGAGTCTAGCAGACATTTGTCTGATCTGGCTTCAAACTTTAATCCTCCAGATCTCAGCCTCCTCAGTAGCTCTGAGGATTCTAGATACCAGCACTTAGCTTAAAACTGATTTTCTCATGAAAGTTGTTGGGGGACCCACATTATATGGGTCAATTAGGTATATTCTACATGAAGCTTTGTTTTCAGTCTGCGTGCACAGTTGTTCCTCTTCTGAATCAAGGAAGCATCAGCATCATCCAAGATGTCTAACTCATCGACAATTCTCCTGTACTTTCTTCTTAACCCAAATGTTTCAAAGTACTTTTTAATATTCCCTCATTTTCCCCAAAATATTTGGGAACTAGGAATTATCTTCACATGACAAAAGAGGAAACTGAAAGCAAGACTAAAGGTCTGGCCTCCAGATTTCCTTTCCAGGACCATTTTCCTTACTAGATTCTTCATCCTTACAAAAGCACCCAAAGCTACACATAAGATACTTCAGTATTCAAAACTTACAGAAGTAAAACTTAAATTCTATACAGTTGGAAGAAACCAAAATTTACCATCTTGTTCAATCTTCAAGCATTAGAAAATTTGATCTTCATAAGTTAATTTGCCCCTTATCAAGTAGAAAATGTTAAGCTAGGACTAGAATTCAGTTTTTAACTCTTACTCTGCTTGCTTTCTCATAAGACAATTTTTTTGGCATCCACATGCTAACACCATAAAGAACAAACATGCTAAGCTGGGTGCGGGTGGCTCACGCTTGTAATCCTAGCTACTCAGGAGGCTGTGATCTGAGGATCATGGTTCAAAGCCAGCCCAGGCAGAAAAGTCTGTGAGACTCTGATCTCCAATAAACCACTAGAAAACCTGAAGCGGTGCTGTGGCTCAAGAGGTAGAGCACTGACCTTGAGCTGAAGAGCGCAGGGACAGCGCCCAGGCCCAGAGTTCAAGCCCCACAAACAAAAACAAAAACAAAAAAACATGCTGTCTGCTCCTGGGCAGCTTAACCTCTATGCCAATGTCTAGATTTAATAGCAAATACCGGCTTTGCTCATGAACAAACACAAAGCTACATAGTTCAGTGAAGTTTTGTCAAATCCTTTATTTGAAATTCAAAAGTTATCTTGGATAACTTTACAGGACACTGCTTTTGAGACTGTTCTAATGAGGTTGCATTGTTCTGCTTTAATGGTTTAAGGGTGATGGAAGGCAATTTAATGAAGTTGTGTGTGTTTACAATTGCAGCCAATACTCATTTAACAAGATATTAAAGGGTCAGAAAGAGTTAAATAGCATCCTTCCTTGACTGCCTTGATCTGCCAGCAACCAGATCTCCTTTGTGCAAAAAACAATCTGTTTTGGCCAGTGATAGTACTTTAAGAGAACTGTTTGAAGGAACCTTGATGGAGGTTAGAAATGTTCTCTACTGTGGCCGTACCAAAATGCCATACTACGTCACTGCTGGCCTTTCCTAAATGAGTTTACCAGATTCACAGGAGCAGAAGCCATAAATAAGACTTTTACTGCTCACTTCAGCTGACTGAAGATGAGCTCATAGCCTCAAGAATTGGTTAAAAACCTTTTGGACCTAATACAGAATGAGGTGCTAGGCAAGAGTTCCAATCACATAATACGGATTTAAAAAAGAAAATCAGAGCTAAATGGGGTTGTAGCCAGAAATGTATGGGTACAGGGAGCTACATGGGGGTAGGGGGAAGATGAAAGGTTAACTAGGAGCAAAATATGGAGGTGAGCAACCCTGCACCTCGAGTAAGCAGCCTTAACTCTGGACACCTGCCACCTCCAGTTCAGCCTGGTTTTGACTTCCTCTCCGCTTGTTCCTATCAAATCATTCCTTTGTGCTGTGGCTCTGCACTAAAACCCTTGCACTGGTCTCAGGCCCCAGCACCTCGGGGACATGGATATTGTTTATCCTTATTTTATAAAGAAAATATGGCCAGGTGCTGGTGGCTCACACCTGTAATCCTCGCTATTCAGGAGGCTGAGATCTGAGGATTGTGGGGTTTGAAGCCAGTCCGAGCAGTAATGTACCCGTGAGACTCTTATCTCCAATTAACCACTCAAAAACCTGAAGTGGATCTGTGGCTCAAGTGGTAGAGTGCTATCCTTGAGCAAAAAGAGGCTGAGGGACAAGCCCTGAGTTCAAGCCCCATGACTGACAAATATATATATATATATATGGTTCAAGATGGTTAAATAATACAGGTGTCATACTGCCTATGATGATGTTAGAATCCAGGTCTGACTCCAGAGGCTTAGCTACAAGCCTTTAATACTGTATAATTTGTGTGATGAGTCCATGTTAAGACAGAGCACACTCCCCAACCCACCCATCCTCACCCATCTCACCTGACTTATCTTGTCTGTAGGAACCTGAAATTTGTCAAAACCCAAAATGGCTTGTGTATACACCCTGTGTGGAAAGTAAATGCTCTTTGCTCCAAAAACCCCAAAGAGAACAGGGCCAGAAGTTTCTACCAAATGCTCAGAAGAATAGCAAAATATGTATCTGATGACATCAGAGGTCCTCATCTGTGAGTCTCTGGGGGGACTTTTACTCCTTGCTACTGAGTGAGAAGCCTCTGGCAGCTGCTAAATTTTTGTTGTTGTTGTTCTCTAAGAAGTTCAGACATAGGAAGAGGGGCTGGGAAGGTGGCTCAGTGGTAGAGTGCTTGCCTTACATGCATGAGGCCCTGGGTTCAATTCCTCAGCATCACATAAGCAGAAAAGGCCGGAAGTGGAGCTATGACTCATGTGGTAGAGGGCTAGCCTTGAGCTGAAGAGCTCAGGGACAGCGCCCAGGCCCAGAGTTCAGGCCTCATGACCAAAAAAAAAAAAAAAAAAAAAGAGGAGTACCCAACCTCACCATGGAAGTCTAACACAAAATTGGGATTTTTATCCCATTTGGAATGAAGGAACTAGTTTTTAAAAACCAATGAGACTCCAGTGGTAGAGTGCTAGCCTTGAGCACAGAGAGGCTCAGGGACAGAGCCCAGGTCCCAGGACTGGCAAAAAGAAAAGAAAAGATCAAAGTTCAAAGCCAGCTCAGGCAGAAATATCTGAGAGACTCCATCTCCCATTAACCAGCAAAATGTAGGACTAGAGGCATGGCTCAAGTAGGAGAGGGCAAGTTATGAGCAAGCAAGTGAAACAAGAGCATGAGACCCCGAGTTCAAACTCAGTATTGGCACAAGGGGGAAAAAAGTGCACCCCTTCCTTGATAAAGAACTTCACTACC